ATAAGCATGCGAACGGTTATGAATCGAATAACCGATTAATCGAATAGTCGAATAATCGAATAGTCTTATAATCGGATAATTTTACGAGCCCTAATGTGTATGTATGCTTGTACTTCAGCGATGCATTCATTATGACAATACTTAATACTTTGGCATCGTCGGAAATCTAAAAATACGCACCTTGGAACCGAATTTTAAAATTTGCAAAATAAATTACATAGATGACACAATTTTCTGTTAAGTGTCAGAAAATATTAGTACAATTTGAAACCGAACGCGCAAAGGTACATAGATACATAATTGTAAAAAAGTACAGCCAAAATATGTATGTATGTAAATGAATTGCTAAAAAATTTGGCAAAACGAAAAGGCATACGAAAAATACCAAAAATCAAGAAAAAATTTAGGTAGTCAAGCTGAGGTACTTGAAAAGATTACTCAAATTGCCAGCATGACAAATAATGCTTTGCTTCTTTATGGTTGACATATGCGACACTTTTTGTGTTCAAACAAAAAAAAAACATTAAAATTAAACAAACGAATGAAGCAATGAGTGCTCTGGGAGGTTGGAACTGAATGAGCACTCAGGCGAGATCGTACGTGGCGTGTTGGCAATTATTATGCACCTACACAAGTAAACAAGTACATATGTATGTGTGTATGGATGTATTATTTTTCAAATTTAACGGAAAAACATTTCAGAGCAACCATATTTATTTTATCGCATCAGTATGCGCAGCGTTGCATGATTTTAGGCGTAAATGCTTATGCGCAAAAGTTCCATTATGCCAACAAGAAATTGTTTTGACCGTAAATGAAATGCATCAATTAAAAAAATCGTTGAAGCGTTAGAAGGTAATTAATGCTCGAATTTTAATTTGTTTTAAGGCGAACTTAGCACAGTGTGTAGGCCACTCACTGAGTCAGCTGGGGTCGTTGGATCGAATCCCACTGAAGAAGTGTGATGAGGAGATGTGGGGATCTCCGAAATAGCAGCTATAACTTCTACCATTTATGAATTGTGGTTGCTTTTCCACAAAAGTTTTCATTAAAAACCGCCTCAAGTTAAATAAAAATGTTGAATTTTATATGTGGAAATAAAACAACTTTTCGTAGAAATGGTATAGAATTCTTGAAAATGAATATTTTTCGATCGGAAAACTCTGGTTCTCTTCAAGCGACTTCCAATAACAAACCCAATTGAAATATTGAAAAATTTGTAATTTTATCGCCTTATTCATAAAAAATTATATAGATTTATAGAGCTCTATGACATTTTCATACAAATTTTCGTTAATTTTTTAAGCTTGCCTACATGCATATGTACGAAAATTAGACTGGTTCAAAAAAATTTAATTTTTTTTTTAAAAAAATAAAACATTGAAATTTTAATAATTATTCATATGCACATACATACATACATACATACATATGCACAACATGCAAATGCATTTTGACTACCTATTAAATACAGAAATTTCTTCTCTTAATTACATACCTACTAACATGTGCATGTGTAAACATTTCCCCATAGTATCGCCGAAAACCTGCTCTTAGCCGTCAATGACACAACAGCTGATATTTTGGGAAATGATATCAATGGCACTGAGTAACATTAACCCACTCTCTCTTTGGTAGTCCCATTCGGATGCATGTCATCATCGTTTCAATTTTTGCAAATGCTTTTCAACTCGAGCTATACATATTTATCACACAAATTGAATTTAAGGATTTTGTTGTTTTCGTTTGTTGTTTGCCATGTCTATGTCACATTTCAAATGTGTCACCGACGCAACTAAGTATTTTTAATTTCTGAAATTGCGAGAAACCACGAAAATAGCGTGGCTTAGTTGTTATGTGTGATATTTTGTGTTTTGACAGATCCATTTGTACTTGCCTTGAGATTTGGCTAAAAAAACGTCACTGTTGACATTTAAAATATATGGAGAAATAAGGTAATTGAGTATGAGAGAAATAGGTTAAATGTTGTTTGGCAATACAAAGTGATTTGGCGGCTAAAAATGAAGTATGTATGTACATATGTTAGGGCGGGTCAATTTATATGGTAAATTTTTTTTATTCCAACCAAATTTGCATGCGATTTTCAAGCTTGTCAAATTGAAAAGACTAGATTTTTTCATTGCGGCATTCCAATTCGCCGTAGTGTCATGAAAATGTTTTAAAATTTTTATAAAATCTTGTTATAATGACTTTTTTGTACGAGGAATCCATTTCTGGGCTTAACTTTTACCTAAAACATCCACCAGAGGGCCCGACATTAAAAAATTTCACATTTGCATACGTTTTAAAAGAAAAGAAAACCATCTATGTATATTTAAATTTCCCTTGAATTTTTTTTACAGTTATTGCAAAAGTACAAATAAAATTTGCTGACATAAATCCATACATGCACATCGTCACCTGAAATGCAAAAGGACGTAACAAACATCGTCGATGAAATACAAAAAGTCGTAACTAGTAAAAAATCCAAAGTTCAGTTTTTGATTGACATGATGAGTTTCATCGAATTAAAAAATCTCATCTCATTTTATGAAAGAAACAAAAAATATTCATGACATTTTCCATTTCAATTACGTTGTTGTTACGTCTCTTTGCATTTCAGGTGACGATATGTATGTATGCACGTCAATATAGCCTCAGTTTCTTAGCATAGGAATAACTCTGCCAAATGAAGAGAAAGAAGATGTAGTGCTGGCACCTCATCCAGCCTTAGGTTTTAGATATATACCGATTAAATAGATTAAATTGAGATTAAGGTGCTAGAGTTTGAATATATTTACTTAGGTGTATTTTAAGCTGATCTTATAGTTATCAAAGCGGCACTTTAAATAATACATACTGAAGTGAAAAGTGGGTGAGCCATTTGCTCTATTCATTTGGAACATTGCTGAAAGAGAGGGATCATTCCACTTCAATAAAAAATATGATAAAGTCTCGAATTAGATCTGCTTATTTTTATGACGACCACGGCGAAGGTTTAACTTACTAGTGCCTCCACCCAGATGAATCGCGAAGACTAAGGCTGACATCCCCTCCATCCAAGAAATACAATGGGCGAGGCAAAGTTAGGAAAGCGCAGGCCTTTTGGATGTTTACTACTTATATTTGGCACAATCCCCCATCACTACTCTTCTATAAACGCTTTGATAGCTCTAAGAGCTCCACCCTGTTGAATGGTTACAACACTGAATGCAGTGGGTTAGATGAGACCGAGCTCCCAGTGGACGATATGCGAATAGAAATATATGCAGAACATGTTCAGATGAATGCATGCCTAATGAATGAAATTCACGGGATCAGTCTCTTAAACGTCGCATATAAGGTACTAAATAAATACATATATAGAACATATTGTGTGAAAGGATGAAACTAACCGTTAACAAACTCATTGGCCCTTATCAGTGTGGCTTTAGTATTCACCAAAGGCAAAATCTTTGGAAAAGACCCGACAGCACGTAAAGCAGTTTGTCTTTTTAAAGCGATGTCTGACTAATACGGCTATGTAAAATGACGTTAAGCAACAAAGAATTGAAATAAATTGAGTCATAAAACATTTAGTTCTCAAGCTACCGAAATTTATCGAATCATCGAAGTTTATAGTTATCGAAATTTATCGAGTTATCCATGTTTTTTGAGTAATCGCAGAGTCTCGAATTAATCAAATTGATCCATGTTTATTGAGTTGTCGAAACTTATAGACACAGAAAATTAGTTGTCCAAATTTACAGACAGATTAAGCTATAAAAATGTATGCGATTATCGAAAGTTGTCTACTTAAAAAAGTTATAAAGCTATTGATATTTATTGCATTATTATTAAAAGAATTTATCGAGTTATCGTAATGCATGGAGTTATTTGAAATTATCGAGTTATCGATATTTATTGATATACTGAAATTTTTGGAACTACAAAAATATATCGAGTTATCGAAATTTCAAGGTTATTCAAGTTAATCGAGCTATCACTGCTTATCGAATTTTATTATGTTACCAGAGTGTAGCGAGTTATCGAAATTTGTCGATAGCTTTCAAAAAATATGGAGCTATCAAAATTAGCCAAGCTATCGAAATTTACAGAGGTATACAAAGTTTATCGAGTTATCGATCCATATCCAGATATAAACATATCTGAGTTATTGAAAATTATCGAGCCCACGGAATGCACAGTTATCGAAAATTATCGAAATTAGTTGAGTTATCTAATGCTGTTGAGTTATCAGATTTTAGTGTTTTTGAAGTTAATTGAATTATCGATTTGTATAAAATTATCGGAATTTTTCGACAAACTGAAATGTATCGGGTCAATTCCAAGTCCTCCGAAATTCCTCGCAGAAATTTTTGCCGGTAAGTAATTTTGTACCTTATAAGGCTAACAACGTGCCAAGTTAGAAAACCTCTCCAAGGGTCTTAAAAACCTAGAAAACGGTGGAATTTTGACAGTAACTGAAACATAATTAAAAGAAAAATTGTTCACACAAAACGTACTCCACAGAGCAAATTAAACGCGAAAAGAGTGTTAAATATTCTCTTAAATATGAAATCGCAAATAATAGTCACTTAAAGCTAGCGTCATGCAGAAACACTTCACAGTTCTTTTTTCTAATTTCAAAAACGTTTTTATTTGCAAGCTGTGTATATTTTTTATTATACATATTCAATATAATAACTCAATATAATATAATATGTGTTCGTAATTAATTCAGCAAATTCGAGTATTATTTATAAAATATTTACTATCATCAAAATCTCCGCAAATAAAAAAAGGCTACATGACTAGTGCCTACATAAATTTCAATGAAATAAATAAAAAATAAATAGGTGTCTTTTGCTACAATTTTGACTTCGCTGATCGGATTTCGTTTAAAAGCGTGCTTAGGTCGTAGGTGATTGCTTGATGACTGTATTGCGGCGATACGGGATGAACTTAATTCATACATATGTAGATGCATATGTAATATATAGATTTTGAGTTGCTGTACTATGGCTAGGTGTAGATGCAGGTGCAGGTTGCGGGTGCAATTTAAGGCTATAAGAGGTTTTGGTTTGGATATTCGTTTCAACTATGACTCTGTCTAAAATAAAATAAGAGAAAATAGAAAAACAGAAAAAAGTAAAAATTAAAAAATCATATTGGTAAAAATTCAAAAAACAAAAAATTGTACCACATAAAAGTTGAAGGGTGAACGACAAAGGAGAAGCAAGCAAACTAACACACTGAAAACCACAAACAAAATTACTTGCGGGCGTAAGCATCTAGAATAGCGGATAGAAATTAGCATCCTTTAGTATATCGAAAGTATCCACCGTGGTTCTGGTTGTAGTTGTTGGTGTAATTGATGTGCGCGTAGCCACTGTTACAGCTGCGCTGGACGTCGCCTCGGTTGGTGATGATATCAAAGCATCGGCAGCTGTTGAAATTCTCGCCTCAATCGCAGTGCTCTCATTTCCTTGCTGTAGCGGCGAACCCTCCGTCGAAGAAGGAGCACTAATTAACTCCTTTATGTCAGGTGTCTCAGAGCCAATGGAGCTTGCTGGCGTACAAATGCTGTTTTGTGGACTCAGCGTCGCAAGCGGATTAATGCTCGCCGTACCGGGTGTGACGGCTGCCGAAGCCGTTGGTACATTAACCGATAAATCAAAGTAGGGTGCACGCTCATTCAGTTCGCTCGCTAGCTCCTCTTTGATGTCAGCAGTTGCTGCTGCACTGAAGCCATCTTTTGTCTTCTTGCGTTTCTTAAGCTTCTTTTTGTTGAACGCGCCGGCGCAATCTTGTGTTAAGTCATCTAAGGCTGATTCCACTACAACACTGCTGCGCGGTGAGAACAGACTGAGGCTTTCATCGTTGGTCAAACTATTTCTAGAGTTGCGACGCGACCGCGATTTCGGACGCTTAGGCGAGTTCGCTTCCATTTGTACGCTGCTGTTACGTCGACTGCTGAGCTGACTCTCAGAGTCATCTTCGTCCTTTGCATAGTATTCTGTGCTATTATTTCGAGAATCTTTACGTAACTTCTTTTTACTTTTCTTTTTCTTGGGCTTATCGACGGCCGTCGTTGCTGGCTCTTCCTGCTCCATTGCAGCGCCCGACCCCAACCCCAGCGGTTCTGCTACTCCATCTATGCACTCCTTTTCTTCTGGTATAGTATCAGCGGCTAATTGATTTTCATCTGCCACATAGCAAACACCTTCAGAACCTTGACTGAATAACGTAATGCTTTCACCACCCAGGCTGAATTTTCTCAGGTCTAAGTAGTTGCTACCAACCGCATTGGCCTCTGTTTCGACAATGTTTTCGTCCGCTTTATTAGCATTCACCTCATCCTCATCGTCAATTTTGAAATTCTTTCGCCAGTTGTATTCTCTTTTCGGTTTATAACTCAGATCCACTTCCATGTCCAAATCTTCAACGCCACTACCGTGCAGCTGTGGCATATACCCATAACGTGTGCGCAAGCGCGTCGATTGCCTTTCACACTCACTGGCATCGCCCAAATAGCGCAACTCATGCTCACGTCGCTCATTTTTTATAAGTTTCAATGCTGCCTCACCTTCTCGCTTTCCCTTTGTACTCTTCTTGCGTTCACCATCGCTTGCGGCGCTCATGTCACCCTCACTGCCATCCGTTGCACCCGCATTATTCAAGTAGTTATTTTGCATCTCCTTTAAAATGCTATCGTAATCGCGTAGAATACCCGATTGCTTACGGTTTTTAATAGCCTCATCGTAGATCTCATCAATAGCCGCCGAGTCTGAATCATAATCAAATACGTTCTCTCCAACAGCGTCGCCGCCGACGGCCCCTTCTTCCGCAACGAATAAATTCTCATCGCCTAGCAGCTCATCAATATTCTCCACGTGCTGCCAATCGTTTGCCTCCCTATCTGCATAATGATCCATTTCGCGTTCTGCTTCCTCGCACTCTGATTGCTCGTGATGTGACTCGTCCGCTGGGCCACGTTCATTGAAGTCGCATATGTCCTCGTCTATTTCATCTTCTACCTCCACTACGGTTTGTCGTTCATCTTCGCTGCCGTCGGTTTCCTCTTCTTCGCCCCCGACGTGACGCTGCTCTCCGGCTGCTGCTTTTAGAGCGTCTACAGTGAGCGCAACACTTGCAGCCCTTTCTTCTGTGAGTAAACTGAGCTGTTCAAAGTCTTCGCTGTAGTAATCCTCTCGTATCCAAGTGCGTGTACCGCTGGGAGTTTGTACTTCGATTTGTGAGACAAAAACGTAGTCATCGTTGGGATATTCCTCAATCGACTGCTCTTGATTCAGCGAGAAACGGCGAAAGTGGTGATAGTTTTCTGGCTCCACTTCGAAATCCTCCTCAAGCTCCTGCAGCTGTATTATAACCTCAGGTTTCTGTATCAATGCCGAATCGGAAGCTCTGCGTTCATTGTCTAGAAAACCCGCATTGAGATAGCGCGAGAATTCTTCGAAATTAAGACTTGGTTTTGCAAGACTACTTAAGGTATCTTGCAGCTCACGCTTCGTCGCCTCTTCCTCGATTTTAGCAACCTCTTTAGCCTCTACTTCACCAAGTGGGGAACGACTCTGACTACGCGAGCGCTGAAACTCCGCGTTCATGCGTCGCAACTCATCGTATTGTGTTTCTTGGTAGTCTCTTGATGCGGAGCGTAACTCTTTAGGTTTTGCACCCAAACGTTTCGCATCTGTGACCAGCTCCGATTCCGAAATGAGCTCAGCCAATATTTTATCCTGCACTTCGCGCCGCTCGCTCTTTTCTGCTTGTGTCTCTGTAGCAACTAGCGAGGGTGATGGACTACGTGAGCGTCGGAAGCGTGCTGTTTGTTCGCGCAGCGGCGCAAATTCACTTCCAAGATCTAAAGACTCGCCCACGTAAGTGGAGCGCTTGAATCCACTCGTCAACATTTCATCCTTAATACGTTGCACGTCGCCCCACTCTTGTGATATGGTGCGATCGTAATCGGGTGTTGTCGGTGAGCAGCGCAATTGTCGCATATGTTCGTCGAGTGGCAGGCTGTCAAGCTTGTTTTCATTTGCATTACCAGCCGGTGAGATTGGTGTAACGGTACGCAACTCTATTTCTTCACTCGCATTATTCAATTTACGCAAAGCCTCTGCGTCCACTTGTCTCTGTTTCTCAGCCAATAAGCTCTCCATTTCTTCACTGCTTTTAAAAAGTGTTCTATTTTGTGATGCCTCCAGATTGAGTAACACTTGAAAGGAAGACTCCTCATTCGATTGTTGCGCATGCATACTCACCCGTTTGGGTGATATTGAACGCGATGGCGTACGAGATCGTCGGTCATGCTCGTCTTCACAATCGCTCAATTGATCTGTACCCATCAAGCCGACGCGTATGTTGCTCGGCTCTGGTGTTCGCTCGCGTTCGAGACGTCTCATGGGCGATTTGGAACGTGAACGTTGCAAGCGTAGTGACTCCACTAAACTGGTCATATTATCGAGCGAATACTCATTTTCCGCATTTCTAATATCTGACTTCTCTTTTCCGGGATCTTCATCAAAACACTCTATAGAAATTATCGGTGCAGTAAACGACCTTACGCCCGAGCTGGTAGACGCATCATCTGCGAGCGTTGATACATCCATGTGTAACTGCTGGAAAAGTGCATCATTTTGTTGAATCTTCTTCTTGCGGCGCTGCTCTAAGCCAGTTCGCAAGTTCTCTGGCGTGGGAAGTGGCGAACGAGAACGCGAGCGTGAATGAGAGTGCGTTCTATCCACGCGCAACGACTCCACTAACCGACTCATGCTCTCTTTGGAGTCTTCTTCCATCGGGCTTGTGGTATTATCGGCTGCCTTTTCGATCTGAACTTCTGTGGGGCTTGTAGGATTTTCGACTGCGGGACTTGGCGTACGACTTACGTTTACATCCAAACCGAGCTTTTCAATTACTTCATCATTATGTTTAATACGTCTTGAACGTCGCGTTTCAAGGCTACGTTCCAGATTGTCCGCGGTGGGTAGCGGTGAATGTGAGCGCGATCTCGGTCTATTGCGTTGCTCTTCCACCAGCAATCTCATCTGATCGCGCGCACTTATATCCTCAGTTACACTTGCGGAAGACTCAATCGACTGCTNTGCGTTGCTCTTCCACCAGCAATCTCATCTGATCGCGCGCACTTATATCCTCAGTTACACCTGTGGAAGACTCAATCGACTGCTGATTTGTTTTTACCGCAGACGCTGCTTGCAGATTTAGTGTTTCAAAGAGTTTATCATTTTGTTCTATCAACTTTTTGCGACGTACCTCGACACTACGCTCTAGCTGGGCGCCCGTCGGCAGTGGCGAGCGTGAACGCGACCTAGATTGTCTTTCAACACGCAAGGTTTGCACAAGCAAATTCATTTCGCGGCGGGAACTATCTTCCGCACCTTCTGTATTTACATTTGGTGAATCCGCAACAACTTGCAATTGTTGGCCAATTGTTTGAGACAATCTTGTGCAGTCATTCTGCAAGGATTCTATGAAATTTACTACGTTTTCTTTGGTCAGCTCTGCCTCCATTACACTTTCGGTATCATCGTAGATATCGATAGTGTTGGCGTTACTATCCTGAGGTGGCAAAAACTCTACATTCTTTGGCGCGGGTGTACTCGGTTGAGAATTCGCTGGCGAAGGCTGTCGTGAGGTGGAGCGTGAACGTGAAGGATTCATCGAGGCCGTGAAATCATAGAAATCGCTGAGGCCTTCCATTAGTAGGCCGTATTGATCGCGCCAAGGTGCAGTGTCTGGCGCGTGGTTAACAGTAATGGACGGCGTGGTAGGTGTTGTAGGCGTGGTTGGCACTTGCGGCGATATCGTCTCATTTGTTTTGTTCCACAGTTCTTCATATTGATCCATTTCATCGATACGTGGACTGCGACGTAAGCGAGGAGAGGCCGATTTGCGGTCGATTGGTGATTGGGATGCGGTGTGAAGCTAATAAAGCGAGAATTTCAAGCGTATGCGGATGTGCGTGATTGTTTGAAAATGCGTATGAAAGAGAGTTAAAAGCAGAAGCGTGTTAGGACTAGCGCTATAGAGCATTACAATAGTAAATGGTACTCTAATGGGTAAGAGGTTAAAGTGGTTATTTTATTTGTAAGACTTACGTTCGTTTGAATATCATTGCGAGCTGCCTCATCTGACGCTGGCTGCTGATCGGCAGTTTCCTAAAAATAAGCGCCGAAGTTCAGACATTTCCACTTCACTTATCTTCGTAAATTACTCACCTGCTCTTCCTTGGTCTGTTGCCGCTGCAAAACGCTAATGGCTTCCTCATTTTGTGTGTGGCTAGCTTCCTCAAACGCTAACGCTTTCGGTTCATTTCTGGCATTTACATCTCGCCCCTCCTCCTTCTCCGTAGCAGGTGACTCAAGTTCGATTGCTTCCTCATCGATTGACATTGACTTTTCACGCTTCCAGAATGGCATATCTTTGTAGTGCTCTGGTGTGACCTCACCCCATGGATTTGTATTCGCCTCCTCATCCAGCATCTCCAGCGAACCTCTTATGCCGCTTTCACTCGGCTTGGCATCCTTTGCTGGGCTACGCTTATGTCGCCGGCGTGGCATCTTGACTTTCAATAACGGCTCACTGGCATACTTGATTGGCGTGAAATCAGCATCACCTTCCTTCGTCGGTTTCAACTCTTCCTCCTCCAGTGAGGTGAACATTTTTACTTCCTCCTCACGTGAAGCACGCGATTCATACGACGAATTGGAACTACCGCTGGAACGACGTTTCTTGAATGCACGCCTACGTCCCGAGCCATCTTCACGCACCAAAGGACGCTGCTTGATGCCATCGAGCGAGCGGAGATAATCCTCTGTGTACTGTTGGGATGCGCTAGTATCATTATCTTCACCGCCATCGGGCGCTTGCCGCTCCAACTGCGTAATTTGTACATCGATTGTGCTATGTAGTTCGCCATCTGCATCGGCGCCATACTCGTCGGAGTGCTGTGCGCTCAACGAACTCTGCGGCTCAAAAGACGGAGTATCATCGGATATACTCTTGAAGAGCAGCGGCTTCGTTGTCAACGAATATGGTTCATTGCTGGTTTGCCCGAACTGTGTCTTCACAGTTTGTGTCAGACGTTCGCCGGTGCTTTCCGAATTATCAGAGAGTGGACTCATTGTTTTCCTCACACATGGCTCTTCCAACAGAGGCGATTGTGGTGCGCTCTCTGTGGCAGATAGACGCCGTTGTTTCTGCACAGACTCGAGGAGTTCCTCCATTTCCTGATCGGCTTCGAGAAACTTACGCGCATTCTCTTCGATTAGTCGCTGTCGCTCGACACGTTCATGTGTGGCTGCTTCCTCAAAGTCGCGCTCGCGCAACTGACGGTCACTCTCGGCGTCGAGTAGTTGCATTATGCTATCCAAAGTCTCCGTTTCTCCTGGCTCGGTTTGTTTATGGCTTGCGCGTATTTCATTCGAAAACACACGCTTTTGCTCGTCCTCTAGCTCGTCGAGTAGACTTTCAGGCTCATCGCTGTCTTGTATATCTTCTTGTTCTAGTATTAATTGTTCTGCTTCTCGCAGTCGTTCAGCTTCGAGCAATTTGCGTTCATTATTAGCAGCTTCCTCGTTTTCTTCTTGTTTATGCTGCTCCAGCTCATGTTGCCTTTCAGTTTCTAGCAACTTGCGCGTTTGCTCTTCAGCTTCTTTCGCTGCACTCACTTCTGTCGCCTTTAGGAGTTCTGCTTCTTTTTCAGCACGTTTACGCTCTTCTTCCTCCGCATGCTTTCTCTCCGCCTCTGCCGCGGCAGCTCTGCGTACTTCCTCTTCTGCTTCTCTCTTCATGCGCGCCTCCTCCTCCGCTTCTCTTCTTCGCTCTTCCTCTTCGCGCAGTCGCTCACGTTCTAACAACTTGCGTGCTTCCTCTTCTGCTTCGCGCTCCTGTTCTTGCCTTTTCTGTTCCAATTCACGCGCACGCTCTGCTTCTAGCAACTTTCGCGCCTCCTCCTCTTCCTCAGCAGCTTGCTTGCGCTGTCGCTCTAGCTGCGCTTCAGCCTCTGCCAGTTGCTTGTGTGTTTGTTCTTCAATCTCGCGTTGTCGCTTCAATTCCGCCTCTATCTCCCTCTTGCGTTTCTCACGCGCTTCGGGTGTATTCTGCTCAGCTGACAGCCGATCGTTTTCCAATTTTTCAGCATCAACTCGAAATCCATCCTTATAGAGTACGCCGTCTTTCATCACCTGCGTACCCGTCTGTAGTTCTTTCGCCTCAGCTTCAGCTAGCTGGCAGCGCATACGCTCCTGTAGACGCTTGAGACTTTCCGCATCGTTTTGGGTGGTGGCCATATGACCGCAGCTCCAGTGATAGAGATGACGTACGACATAGAGGAATTCCAAGGCGCCAGCGTAACCGATCAGCACTGAGAAGAGCAAATCGCCGAGTTCAGGTAGAAGATCGTCAGCCATTTTAGCGGTCGTTATGCGTTTGAATTTTCTTTTAGATTAAATGCTACTAGTGACCTGTTTTGCCGTAGTCTGGTGCGCGGCGCTTTTTACAGTCGCGCGTTCTGCAGAACTATATGTCTGCTTTTAACGACCTTGATTTTTTNTGTCAGCCATTTTAGCGGTCGTTATGCGTTTGAATTTTCTTTTAGATTAAATGCTACTAGTGACCTTTTTTGCCGTAGTCTGGTGCGCGGCGCTTTTTACAGTCGCGCGTTCTGCAGAACTATATGTCTGCTTTTAACGACCTTGATTTTTTTCGGATTTCAGTATTCGACACCAACAATTTATTGAGGTTTCAGAAAATCACAAAAAATCAAAATAAAAATCAAAAACGTTTGCAGCTACGCACGCAATTTGCTTGGCAGCGGATTTGCAATGCCGTCAGTCGATCGGTCGAAACAGCCAAAGGCGATGCGGCTAATTTATCAAACAAACAACTATTTATTCACCACCACTTGAGTGATCTGCCGCAGATAATTCGTTTAACTGTTTAAGCAGCAGTCGCTTCGAAATACAGAGAGATTCTGCTCTTAAAAGAATATGCCTTGCTGAGGTGCGCGCGAGTTAGTTGCGCGATTCGCTATGGCCGCCAGCAAATCGTCACTAGAGACACCGGCTGGCGCGCTGGCTGTCTGTGCTAGTCTTCACCGCTCGTCGTTTTCGCCTGCTCGTGCGCGTTAATATTATATAAATTTCACCACACTAGCCGCACAGTTTTACTGATTGTGTAATTCACCAAATGAAAATTTTTTAATTCTTAATTTTTATGCACAAAATTTTGCATTATTTCTCCGCAAAATATACACACATTTGCATATTATATATACACTTTATTTTATATTTGCGAAAATTCAAGTGCGGGTACCTTGGAATTTCTTGGCACAAGATATGAAAAATATGGACGCAATTTATGTGAGCACCAGAGACAATAAACACCCGCGCCGTGCCGCGCCAC